GTTGGAGCTTGTGACTCCCTTTCATTCATCTGTTGAACAAGTAATACACAGGGGATGATTGGCAAGCAAGCCACAGTGTTCTTGCATTCATTTGTATAATATTAACTATGTGTGTTAGTTTTGGTATAAAGGAATGTAAAGTAATGAAAAATAAAAAAAAACAATCCGTCACTTAAAGTCTGGGTTACTCTACCTACTAATTAAAAGACCTAAAGACCTAACACAATGCTGCCTGACTTTTGTCCACGGGGCACGGATTCTCAATTTGTCATGCTGCTTTGAACTGTCACTATTCGACTGGTGGTGCAAAGATAATAAACCAGTAAAACTTCAGAGCACAGGATGCGACTGAGGGTGACTAAATGACCATGTTGTGCTAGAAAAGAAGTGGTTCGCGGGACTTGTTGTCTGACCAAGTTGGAAATGAAAAGTGTTTATACCTGATCCGACCGCCACATTGGAAGGTGGAGTGACAAGCTGGCCGTCAAAAGTAGAGGGGAGACGTGATATCGTTTAAATGCGTGGGTAATGGCACACATTTTAGACAGTCTCTCCTGGAAGACATTCATTGTCTTGCACTTCATTGGCCAATTTAAAAGTAACAGAAACAGTTGTGCCAAGAAAGAAAAAAATTGAGTCGGGTTGTTGGTTTTGCAAAGTAACAGAAATGGTCCAACACTGCCCCCCCCCAAATTTGATGTCGGAAGGAGGGGCGGGGGTTTCCGACAAGCTGTTCTGGTGTAGTATACTGGCCCCTTAAGCACAGCAGAGGCCCCTCACTGGTCTCTACACAGAGTGGCCTGTAGTCAACACTATCTTATCTCTTTAGGGGGGCAAGTCTGGGCTGGTCGGCAGGAAATCAGAGCCTCATGACTTCAGCGGGAACCGTCCCATAATACTTAGCTGCTGACTGCTTGAGTGAAAAGTGATAAACACATCCATGTCTCTAAGATTGATAGTGTTAAGGGTTCATGTCTGACTTCGCCGACTACATTTTATTGATGAACTATGATAGCACATGTAACATGTAAACACATAGCACATGTAAACAATGTCCTCCATTTTGTATTTTATTGGCAACACAATGTGTAGGTTCCTTCCAGCTCGTATTAACATGGTAAAGATAACTTTATTTTGGATTGCTACACGTTATGTTTTATAATCTTACAAATGTGACTTTCCCCTGCTCCTTCTTCCACTGTTTCCACCGGTGTGTGTGAGAGCAAGACCTGACCTGCAGCCATACAATCTATCAGCATTAGTCCAACACAGTTTCCAGACTAAACACACTCTCATTACAGTGGCCGTGAGTGCCTTGAGGGCTCTTCCTCCACACAAGTTTATTAACACAAGCAACAATATACTATACAAAAACTGGACTCCTACAGTAAACACCGCTTCAGTGCTGCTGGTATATAATTAAAGGATTTAAATGGCCAGAGCTTATGGGGAATGACATGGCAATATGATTACTGTAGAACATAATGTACTGTGTAAGCTGGAGTTGCTCCAGGATGATGTCATCTCCTCCTTGCTTTGTGGGGCAGCGTCTGCACAGTGGGGAGAGAGAGAGAGAGCGAGGGAGGGGAGGGGAGGGAGACAGGACACTCTTCACGCTTTCTTACAGAATTCAAACCGTTGTCACCTGTATAGAGACTGGTTATGTGTAGCCAGCTAATAAAAAGTCCCGTTCTGATATCTCTAGTTCCTAAATGCAATAACTGCCTTAGTGACAAAGTATTCAGTTACAATTTTAGTTTGCCCTACACCCCCGCTGATCCTCGTGTCTCACATTAGCTATGCTCAAAGTTTACAGTCTCCCTCAGACTGTGGTGGGGTCCGTGTTTATTGGTGAGGCTGATGAATTTGGTTGTATCATCAGTGGAACAGAACAGTGTTCAGAGAAAGTAGTATTATCAGCCTAATGTACCTGAAGTATGAAAAGCAAAAGTACTGATTTAGCTGATTACCCCATTCTTTTTATTGGGTTATGGTTACTGGTGGACGAACATGTAAGCATCATGTAATGTTGTAGCTGCTCAACAGTATGGCTAAATGATAGAACTTTGAATATGATTTGTTCATTTAATCTGTATCACTACATCAAAAAGGATCATATGTTTTGAATGTAAAATCTGTATGGGCAAACAAACTATGTATAAGCAATCTGTAAATGTAGTGGGTAGCATGAAATGGGCAAGTACCTCAAACGTGTGTCTGCGAGTAAACTCACTATGAAGTTACTTTCCACCAAGAAATAGAGTAGTGTTACTTCTTTAGAAAACAACTCAGAGATCCTCTCTTTCTTGTTGAAGTTAATGTTCACGTTTCTACTAAAATTTGACACAGAGGCTCATGAAGAGACTAAACTCCCGATAGTGTTTGTAAGTAGAAGGCTGCTGCAAGTACAAGCGTAGACAGGGTGCCAGCAGCTCCGTCCTCTTGATTGTATTTGTGTGTCTCTGGAACAAACATTCCAGCACGGTACTCGAGCATCAGCTGTTTACATTTGCGACAAGATACTCCAGTCTCAAGTATCCGCTAAGCGTCAGACCTTGAGAGACAGAGGCCACATCAAGGAGGTCAACAAACAACCTGACACCCTGGAGGTACATTTGCATTGAGTCGAGAATGTAAAGCAACAACGGGGCATAAAATGGCCTCAGAGGCACCAAACACTTAAGTGGCAAAACAACAACCTCCAAACTGTGAGGTCCTCCTCATTGTCAAAGCTCTTCTTATCTCTCTCTCTCTCGCTCTCTCTCTCTCTCTCTTTCTCTCTTAAAAGAGAGAAGGGGCGGCCAGCGAAACAAATCCTGGGCCAGCTGACATAGCTCATTTTAGTATCACTTCACAAGTTAAGACAACAAAATGGGTTGCAGTAACTGTCAAAAAAAACCAAACAAACTATAAATCTTGGGATTCATAAGCTGATATTAAGTTTCACCTCCAGCTACAGCCTTGATAGAAAGGACTTTAAGTCTGTACAGAAGGCGAAAAGAGTGGCTTTACCTTATGGTACTTGCAAACTGCTGGAACTTGTTCCATAAACTCTGTGCATAGCACTAGATTACCATCATAGTGACTCCACTATATGGGCTAGGAAAACTGCAATCCACTGCGTGGCAATAAACATAGTAACCCGAGTACACAGGGTACTCCAGAAAGTGTCTGTCAAGTGAAAAGTTAATTTGCGTTTTCATGTGCTACCTAAAACAACCCCCCTTTCCTCACCACCCAACCCCCCCCCCCCATTGTGAAGCCATCAGATAGCGGCTTCCAGAAGTCCACACCTGTCTGATGGCTATGCAGAGGAGATGGATCCATGCATTTTGAGCATCAGATAGCCTCTAGCCAGGGTTAGTATTGATCTAACGCTTCACTGGCCCTTTGTGAGAGCAGCAGCTGCTTTGGGGGGGCTTTTAGATAAGCAATGCAAAGGGAATTGTTTCTCCTGAAACCCTCTTTCAATGTTCGTACACGGAAACCACCACTTAATTCAACACTTCATCGCTCTGGAATAAAATGTCCTCTCCCTTGACGCGAGAAAAAAAAAAAAGCAGCAAATAAGCATTAAAACATCAGCCTTTGGGGTATTGGGAAGCGCGTGGTATTAGAAATCACACAGTGATAATGCAGCTCTCTGGATTTTCACTGTTTAATCATTTGTAATCTCTAGAGTGAGAATGAAATGAAAACACGACACGTTTCAGTATCCCGCGACTCTCTCTCTCGTCCTCACTCTAATCACAGTCCCAGTCACTGAATGAGGCAGTTGGGGTGATGTGGGAAGGAGAGAGGGGGGGGTATATTACTGCTGCATCTGTGTGAGGCAGACATGGCGGTGAGACCCTCCCTAAGATGACTCACAGGCGGCATGGGCTGACACCAGCACCTCATTCACAGCCAATAATGAGCCATGCTAATGAGCAGGACAGCCACCCTGCATGCTCATCATTACGACGTCTTGTGATTCATGTCCGGCACGAAACCATCATAGAAAGAGATACGGCTGGTTGGATCGGGCTAGGGTGAGGTGTAGGCGAGGGGCAAACCCTCAAAAAAAAGGTTGAACAGTATAATTTATGAATATTCAATCAATTGTTTTAATAAATGTCCTTTTGGCAGATCAGAATCTGAAGAATAGTGTTTTTTAGCTCTCTTCTATCATGGCAGGAACTGGAATATCAGATTTATGTGGACAATTTCCCAGAATTCCACACAGATATGCAGTCAATGAGTGCTTGCAGAGTATTCATACACATGATAACATGCTATCAGTTCATTTTGAAATAACCTCCTCTACCCAAGTCTGCACTGATCAGAAGATCAAATACCACTCCAATGAATCCATCAAGAACAAAAAGCAGACTGACAGTAAAACATGCATGTGCATGCGCCAGCCTCCTGAGACTGCTGCTCCGACATATATATCTGATAAGGCTTAATCAGCACAGGGTGGTCATGATAAAGCATTTCAGCCCTATCTCTGTCTGAGAGAGAGAGAGAGAGAGAGAGAGAGAGAGAGAGAGAGAGAGAGAGAGACAGGGGGTTGCCTCTCTGCTCTGGGGGTGGGAAGGCAAGAGCTCCTCTATCTCTCAGCGTTTCTCTTCCTCAAACTGCCTCAAGTCTCCTTAGCCTCGACTTCTTTCCCCCCTGTGTGCCTCTTTTTCCCTCTTTCCTTCTCCCTGCCTTTCTAGCGGCTTCTCTCTGTATCAGTAGAGACACTTCTTAAGCCCCAGCTGGGGAAAAATACGGTGGCTTGGTGGGGGGAGGGTTTCAAAAGGGTAAGTGATTGCCCTCTAGGGGACGAAGCAGAGAAAAAAAAAAAAAAGCAGGAAGCCTTATCGCCCCAGCCTCCAATAGCACTGCTGGCTACCACCCAGAGCCGCGGGGGAGGAGGGCGGAGGAGGTGCAGGAGACGCCGGCTAGATGCTACGCTGCCTCTTGACACAGCAAACTCAGCAGGGAGCCTTCTATCCATGCCTGACTGTATGGGCTCAACTATAGGCTGCACAGCCAAACGTTATTGCTTTGCTTGCATGCTTTATACAGTGCAACATGAGCATTAAAACAAATGGATACAAAAAAATGATGGGTTATATTTATTTAATATATTGAACTGTTATTACAATTATATAAATAATTTGTGTGTATGCATGCAAGTGTTTCCTTGGAGCATGCATTGTTATCAGTGAGGGTCTATGGGCTGCTGCAGATGTGTTGTGGGTGCTCACACACAACAAACAACATCCTAAAGCAGACTGCACTACTGACCTATTTCCTTAAATCAAATGCAGACAGGAAGGAGACCTCGCCAAAAACCAAAACAAAAACACGGAGCCACTCAGAGAGCTATCTCAGAAATGCATTGGGATATACTAAAGTTTATGATAGCAACCACTATACCAGCTGCTAAAATGCATCCTTCTACAGCAGACAGGCAATCAGACAGGCGCACCGACGCATCCACGCGACTGCAACAGTGTCCAAGCGCCACCTTCAGTATCCAACCTGAGGGAGGGGGAAAAAAAGCAAATAATCACATAGCCTACATCTTTTCCTCCAAACACATCTGCAAAGAGTGTCTGCCAGTCTGGAGAATACCCCCTCTTCTTACGTGTTTTCTTCCTTCGTGTTTAAAATAAGGGAATAGACCTTATTGTCTTATGTGCGCTTTGGTGCGTGATGTGCGTCTCAGGAGCGCATGGTGCTAACTGTGTGTTTAATATGCCTGTCTCGCCCGGCGTGTTGTCCCAGACACTGTGTACCACAAATCCCCACCTCCCCTCCAACGAGAGCTCGGGAGGGAGGAATAAAAGGGTTAAGGGGAGTCTTGGATGGAGTCTGCTGGGCGGAGCGCAAGAGACCTGATTGGATGGCGGCCCGTGACGCAGGGGACGTGAAAAAGCTGATAACTAGTTAAGAAGGCAGTTTGTAAGTCTGGAAAAAGAGTGCAGAGCTTGAGACTATACAACGCGCAGTGGACGTGGACGAACCGGCGCAAACACAGAGCTCAGCCTTCTTGGCAGAGTGCAGAAGGGCTGACAGACAACGGCAGCGTCCGGACACAAAGTGACTTTAAAACGGAGGGCGATGGTGCAGCACACAGACAACAGCGAGACGGACGGGAGCATGTCCAGGGAGGCTACCGACTCGGAGGAGAGTGAATTTATGGCATGCAGCCCCGTGCCGATAAACCCGGACTGGTGCAAGACGGCCACCGGTCACATCAAGAGACCAATGAACGCGTTCATGGTCTGGTCCAAAATCGAGAGGAGAAAGATCATGGAGCAGTCGCCGGACATGCACAACGCGGAGATTTCCAAGCGCCTGGGGAAGAGGTGGAAGATGCTCAAGGACAGCGAAAAGATCCCGTTCATCAGAGAAGCCGAGAGGCTGCGGCTAAAACACATGGCCGACTACCCCGACTACAAGTACAGACCCAAGAAAAAACCAAAGCTCGACAGTTCGAAATCTTCGGCGCCGTCTCCGGAGAAGTGCGGTAAAATCGCAAAGACTCCCAGCAAGAAGTGCTCAAAGATAAAGACTAAGAGCGGCTCCAAGTCATCCCACGGCTACGGGGAGGACTGCGTGTTTCCCAGCTTAAAAGTTACAAAGACTGTGAAAATTGAGCTCACCGACGAGGACGACGACGACGAGTACGAGGAGGACTACCGGATGGGGATTAAGGCGAGGGACGAGGAGCGTCTGAGGCCGTACAATGTAGCCAAAGTTCCCGCGAGCCCAACTTTGAGCTCCTCGGCCGAGTCCGAGGGGACGAGCATGTACGAAGAAGTGCGGAACAACAACAGACTGTTTTACAATATCAAAAACATTACCAAGCAGAGCACATTGCACGCTGCTTCCGTCTCACCAGCATCCTCCAGGTCGGTCTCCACATCCTCCTCCTCCTCCTCCTCCTCCAGCAGCTCCTCTTCCGGCGAGGACGCGGACGATTTGCTGTTTGACTTTAGTTTAAATTTCGCCCCCAGCGCCCCAGGCTCGGAGCTGGGCAACCCCAATTCAGGAAACCTCTCCCTGTCTCTTGTGGATAAGGACCTGGACTCTTTCAGCGAGGGCAGCCTGGGCTCTCACTTTGAATTCCCAGACTATTGCACGCCAGAACTCAGTGAGATGATTGCCGGGGACTGGTTGGAGGCGAACTTTTCCGACCTGGTCTTCACATACTGAATTGAAGAAAGAAAAAAAAAAAGTTCCTCTAGTAATAACAGAGAGGGAAGAAAGTAAATTATATATGTGTCCTGGTCAAGTTGTCCCTAGCCCTGCCTCCTGTGGGTTTTCTGAAGGGTCCTAGAGGGAAGGTGGAGGACCAGGGAGGCGAGGTGAGGTTTGAGGAATGAGATGCTTATGAAGCTGGTAGCAAAAAAAAAAAAAAAAAAAAAAAAAAGAGCAAAGTCTGCAGACGTTTTTTTTCTGGCAGCATGACAGGGTTTTATGGATTTTTTCCCCCGTAGGTCTGCATTTACTGTTCAGCTTAAACGGACCACAAAAGGGAAAAATACGTGAACTTCTATGCATCTTATCCTCTTAAAAAAAACAAAATAACTGCAGGGAGCTAAAAAAAACGGACTGTGGACAGACTCAAAGCAAATCTGTGAACTGACAATTGTTCAGGATGTTACTTTACAACGGTTTATGTCATTTCTAAATGCCGCAAAAATGTTTGTTTGTTTTTTTGTAACTGATTCAGTTTACCTCCTGGTTTGGTAAATTACGCAGCCTAAACCTCTGCAGAATAGGCCTACAGGTGTGGAGGAAACATTTTGATACATAACAGACCTCATCTTTTTAAAAGAAAAGTAAGATATTTTCAGGCATATTTTTGTACAGTTAAAAGGGAATGTTCTTACTGTGCTTTCAGTGAGTTTCAGGCACTTCTTCCCTTTATCATTTGTTTTTAGCATGCAAGGGAGTCCTGGTTTTAAGGATTAAGTTAAATTAAAACTTGCATCAAAAATGCCTTGTGATTTCAAACTAGGTTTTGTACAGTTGTAGAGCAGATTTGTTGAGTATTTGTAGACGATACAATGGCATCATGGGGAACACATACCTCAGAGCTGGAACTAGTTTCAAGATTGTATATGTACTGTAATATAGTAAAGTTAGGAGTTTATGTATATCATACTCGTGATATGTGGATGGGTCCCAATCGCAGGTGTGAAACTGGATTTTGGTATTTTTTATGGCACATACTGTTTTTCCCCCCTCTCATTTTTTGTGCAATATATACTCTTAAGATACAGACCATCAACAATTGTAGCAAGCGATGGAAAAACAGACTTGTGCACTGTCAACATCATGTCATGTTATGATGCTGAAGCCTGTCCAGGCAGAAAAATAAACAAATCAGCTGGCACTGATACAAAACTATATAATATGGCCTCATGGTGTGATGCATACTATATAAACAGATTGATATCACAATTTGAATGTAATTTGACACATAATGGGCAAATCTGACACTAAACAGAATCTGACTGGGGAAAAGGAGTTCTGCAGAAGGGCATAGTCTGATACAGTGGTGGTCTGGCATTCGTTTAACAAGCAAGCAAAAAAGAACATTCCATAGTCCTGTTTCATGTAATGAAACTTTATTTTAAAACTGAAGACTGCCTTCTTTTTTTAAAAACATTAACCATAAACCTGTATTTTTTATTTCTTGCACTTAAAAAAAAGCAGATATTGTTTATTTTTATGTGGGTTCTACATATGAAGTCTGTTTGATAAAAAGGTTTTGGACTATGACCTAATTATATGCCAAGACATTTTGTTTGGAAGTTCTAGGCAGTAGTTACTTCACATTCCAAGTGTGAATCTGTCTTTGACTCATCTTTTAATAAATAAGTACCTACCACCATCGACTGTCCTTTCAGTTTGTGAATATATGTACACAAATGTGTTATTTGTTGCGTTTGCAAAGGATGTGATGACAGAGTGATGCCTATTTTGTATGTAGGCGGATCCTCTGAAATGGATGGGCTCAAACTAACATGTGATTTCACATTTAATAAAAAGGAAAAAAAGGAAACTTTTAAACTGCAGTGTTGAGGTGTTTTACTGTCCCTGTTTGTGTTGAACGTTTCTTTCACTACTCCGCCTCCCTTAAAACGGACACTGCGGCTTTAAGAAATTGAATTGCCCGCTTGCCTGCCCCGAGCGATGCGATTGGTCGGCCTGGTGGTCTCCTTGGAGACGGAGCTGGAAACAGGAGCCGCTCCAAACAGCGTGTGGGAGCTCTGTCTGTCTAACTTCCATTCAGAAAAGTAGCTCTCTGCCCGGAGAGCTGCGCGAACAGAGGGCTGCAAAAAATGTCTCAGTGTGAAATATTTTCGCTCAGGGATAAACAATGGCTCTTATTCCAGACCGATACGGTTCAATCTCTAAAAATGTTTAGAGTCTTGTTCAAAAACACAATTCACATGTGAAAGTAAACTCTAAAGTCCACTAATCTTTCAGGTCAGTAGTTAAATGTGTGTTGGGAACGGGGGCAGTAGGTCAGTGTGAATAGTAGTGTTGCTTAAAAATGATTATTCCAGTGGTTGGCGGTTGCAGTCCTTGAGCACCACAGCTCTTCTCTCTACTGCTCAGTGCCTCATTTCCACCTGGGATTTCAGTCAAATAAAAGTAAATATTGGGACACAAAACGAGGCGGGATGCGATACTGGATGACGAGGACTGAGAGCCCCTGAAGTAATGTAAAAAAAAAACAAAAAAACATAAACAGGAGGGTAAAATATACTGTGGGAAGCAGCTTGTGTACACTAATATAGTCGTGATGCTGCTTGATTGTGCACAGCCAGAACTGATTGTGTTATGACTCACACTACTGTATGATGTCATGTAGAATACATTTAGCATAACAAACCATTCATTTAAGGTGATAGCATCTTCACAGCATTGCTTCCCGTATGCCTCCAGAGGACCGCCGACGCAGCCTTTTGCCTCCTCTGAGGCCTGGTTAGGTAGACCCAGCTTTAACACATCATATATAAAGGACCAGAGGCATTGGTCACTGAGAGATTTGTGTTCATTACAGCAATAGACTAATGATGAATATTTGCCATGCATAGCTGCACAAGTACTAGTGCCCCCCCCACATTAAATCAGTTTGCAAATCTGTAATAAAACATTTATCTAGCTATTACTTTACCTGACCTATTGGTTAAAGTTGCTAATGGGTTCCAGGGCTATTCCCAACAGAATCTCAACATTGATTTTGTGTTCCTCTGAAATATCTGCTCAGGGCTAATGCCACCGTTACATGTTGAAATGAAATTAGTGACCCGTCGAAATTTCCTTCTGTTTCCTCCTTAAATAAATAAATGGAAATCTAGAACGCTCCCCGAGACGCTGAGTGAGATACCGTCCTCCCAGGAATTCAGCGTGGGGGATATCGTGGCGACAAAAGAAAGTAATTTCCAATCCCTTGAGCGTTTAAATCATTCATATAACCCAGGATGTCACAGTCAAACGCTGTACGTGACACCTATACAAAGAACCCTGCCACAGAACTGAAGGCTGGAGGTTGATCTCCCGGTTTGCAAGTTGCTTAAATTGGACTTCTAAAATATGTCAATGCTATCTCAGTTGCTCATAGATAAAATCCCTCTGTGACCGGTCTCTGTCTAAGTCTACTGATGTTAAATCCAGTAATAATAAGACCGGTTCTGTTTCTTTCTTTTTTTTCACCGCACTGACTCTCATCCAGCTAGCTCAGTTGCATTACATCATTGCTTAGCTTATGCCACTGCGCAGTAAGATTCCATGTTGTGTCATCGTTGATCCACGTGTGGTTCCTCTTCTCCCGGTGGGATGCTGTCTAATATTGCTATGGGAATACTGATTTGTGCTCTCCAATGCTGGAGGTTTCATAACAACAATAACAGCGCTGCTTGTCTAAATTTAAACCTGTTTACTGTCTGTTTTAATTGACGAGTGGGCAGGATTCATGGTCTCTGCTCCAGATCTTCTGTCTGAGATCAGGATGGTGTTGACACCCCTTCTGTCGGAGCAAGCCCCTCTCCTGCTCTGTTACACAAGCATGTCCTGCTGTTAGGCCAGCGCTCTGCAGGTCCTGCAAGCAGTGTGACAGAGTTTCAAAAAATGACACACGGCACTTGGTCCCCTGTGAGTCCTATGATCCGAACAGGTAAAAAGCTATTTGCACCATAAATATAATTTATTGTCTTATGAATCCAGATGGGGAAACTACATATTTAATCATCGGATGCCTAGATCTCACAATGACCTTAAAAGTATTTATCACTAATGTTGCGCAGTTCAGCATGCTGATAGTCAGGGAAACCTTGTTGTTGAAATTGCCTGCCTGAGCAACAGTCCAGTCCCTTTGTCCTCTACTCCAGTCTCGGCCTGGGGCGACTCCTCCTGCTGCTGTTGATGGCTATCCATTTGCTCGGAGGGAGGCAGAGAGGGAGCATCGGCCCTATCTTCTGCACTGATATTTACTATACCTTCACATTTGTGAGAAGGGCGGTTTTAGGGTGTTTTAGCACTCTGACAAATACACACAAGTGCACACAGACACTGGGAGAGAGAGCGAGAGAGAGAGAGAGAGAGAGAGAGAGAGAGAGAGGGAGAGAAAAGTGATGTTTATATGAACCAGAGTGAAACTCAGATTTAACTTGATGTGGCTTGGAAACAAAACAGGCGGTGTAACAGATAATAAGTGTGTAGCTGGAAGCAAGTAACCCGCACGGGTCTGCTGCTGCTAATTTTCCATTCCCAACTTCATTGCAGTTTTCCATTATTTAGCGAAGGCAATGAGACATTGAAAGAAAGGAAGTTTTGGGGGAGGCTGCTGTTCTGAAAGCAGACACAGCAGGTTGTCAAGAGCAGTTTAAGCTGGCGGTGCTATTGTCTCGTCGACACAGAAACAAAACAGTTCAATCACTCCTCCCGGAATATGTTCTGACACGTGGTAAGATCTCATTGAGAGAAGGTCACTTTTTTTTTTTTTTTTGGTGGGGAGCTGCTGGAGGTCGCGCATCAGTCATGTGAATTATCTGTTTAGAGGGCAGGAACTCGGCCGCACACCTGCTTCCCCTTTCAAACCCAACTCTACAGTATTATATTAATTGAATGGAGTTTCCTGGGTGACATTTTGCAGGTTTGGTGTTCAATTTGTGTTGTGTGCACCACTCAGTGTGTGAGAGAAAATAAATTGAGCCTTTTGGGTTTCAAAAATGCCAAAAATAATTGGCTCAGTGTAATTAGAGCCAACTTGTAATGACATCTAGCTCTGTTTAGAGAGCATTCCCGCAAGTCGGTCGGGCCTGATTGCGGTCAGTTTAGCATTAACATAACCTTGTTTGGAATTAATTGTGACTCTATGATATTTATCTTAGAGCTTTACAGCGGCTGCGGGAGCCCCTTGCACTTTCCAATGAGGAAAAAGGGAATAAACCCACCAGGTTTGTCCAACAGGCTCATAATATATGCAGCGTGTTTGTGGTAAGTCACATTTTAATCCACATTAGTGTATGAGAGTGTGTGTTTTTATCAAGTTACATTTATTTTGTTTATTTTTTATTGCTTTAGATAATTCACCTACCCGTATGTGTTTATATGCAGTTGTTGACCAGATAATGTTGTTGCCCTCTAATCAAATGAAGTGTATTAATGTGTATTTACAGAGCTCACTGCCCTCTTATTGCGTGTGTATATCTGCTGAGGAGAGTCTGTTTGGCGTTTTGCCTAGATGCATGGATTTATGACCACAGCGGTACCCCCATCCCCCGTTTTAGGAGTCAGCGATTGTGTGAGTGTGTGCATGAGGTTGTTTGTCTGCTCATTTCATTTTTGGTTTGTTTTGCGGCTATAGCGAGAGGCCGATGCAGAAACTTAGCAGGGACGGAGCACAGTTCTAACCATTGAGCATGCTGGTTCTGACCATGGCACACACACAACATGGTAATACAGTTTTACTAAAACTCAGTTAGGGAGAAGGACCCTACTCTTCTGTAAGTCTTCACTTTTATCTGAAACCAACAACAGACATTCATGACCCCCTACCTACCCTCCCCAGGATTAAGTCAGGCCGTAATCTAGATTCAAAACTGCAGCTCAAGGGGAGCCCATGCAATTTCCCCCTAAAGCTAGAGCAGAGCCAGCAGTTGGTCATTCATATGCATCTGAAATCTAATACTCTGCTGCTGTGCCCCTCAGTGGCCCCACCTTTCCTGACTCACCAGTGAACCTCGACTCCTCCAGTGCACTCTGACCATTTTACACTCTGTGTTTCCTCTCTCTCTCTCTGTGTCTCTCTCTCCTTTGCCCTCCCCCACTCTCCCTCTATTTGCATGTTACCCAGGTTACACTGTCAGGGTACCCCCCACACAGTCAGACTCGACGCAGGGTCTCATTTGATAGTCTTTGCTGCTTCAGTAAATAATTAGCACACTGAATCCTCTGGGGCCCTTTACAGGAAGCATGGCTTGCTTACCAGGGGGGCTAAGGTTCTAATGATTGCTATCCTGCAAGATTTTTGATAGCGGGCCCACTTGCCTCCTCCTCAACACAGTCTACGTGAAAAACATAACACAAACCCTTCTAGAATGAATTATGAATGTGAATGTGGATGGAGCTAAGCAGACTTGATTAACATTCTGAGAAGTTTTGAGCATTAGTCTGTAATAAAATGCTCTGTGTGCTATTGTAAGTTTGTGCTTGTGAGGAAACTGATGAGAGGGATATTCTTGAAAACAGATGTTTTCAGGTACTTTGTAGGACTAAATGTGATTATGTTCTGCAATCAGTCATGTTGAAATGTTGACATACATTGCTAGTCACAGAGACAATGAAGAATCTTGTAATAAATTGCACCAACAAACTGTTATGTA